GCGGAGATAGAACTTTTCCAACTAATTGTTTCATATAGCATTTCCACGAGCCAGCGTTGTAACAATTTTATAGCTTGGGGTCTGCAGCCATCACGGCCGCGCGAACTGCGTGCTTTCATTGTTGATGCGCTCTGGAGTTCTTGCCAATCCGAATTATTGCCGCCAGTTGTTTGCGATGGAAAGATAATTAAATCGTTTCTGTGGTTGTGTCTGCTCGAAGATTTGGAAAAACCTTTGAGAAATTTAGAGCGTCTATGCAAACTATTAGGTATCAATGAGCATGATTCGACATGGAATTTGGAAAATGAACTGGAGCGTATTGAGCTCAATCGTAGTGCGGTTGCAGCGGAACAAAAGGCAAAATTAGAAGAGACCGTTTTCCGGCTAGAACCGCTTGCTGTGAGTTGCATTGAATCGTCTATGTTAACTACAAGGCGCGTTGCGGAGTTGCAGGTGGGTAGAATGTTTTATTTTTTAGATATAACGGTAAATTAAGTTTATATGTGTATTTCAGAACTCTGAACGCAAACTATTAATGTATCAATTAAAAGACTATGATGACGCCAGCATTTACACAAGGTGGTTGGGAGTTGTACGGCGAATGACACACGAAGGTGCGCCATGGCACTCCGCAGAACGTTCGGAAAAGTATGTATATAAAGAAAAGTCCTTGACTATAGCCTGGAAATTATCAACACATGCACATACATGTGCACAAAATTTGATTTAATAGCTCTTGGGAATTAGACGACACTGAAGGTCCATCCAGGGTCCATACGCGCCTGCGCCGATGCCATTTGGATATCGATAAACGCTTCTTTATGGAAGACTATTACACTACGGAGCTGCGTAACAATGATATTCCATTGAATTCGAGTACCTCTAGTATAGCAGAATATGTACGACCATTAGAATATCTTCTGTCCAGCTATGACCAACAGCTCAATATTTCGCTCAACTCTCAAATATTGTATAACTTTCCTGCCAAATTCTTACCAGTAGATGGCGAAATAGATGGTGAGATTATTATAACCGATCATAAACTATATTTTATGGCTACATATCGATGCAAGTACTTCTACATTAACTGTGATAT